TGTTAACCAGTTCGCTGACGATTTAACTATACAAGTGGCCGCCGAAAGAATAGAGGAAGCGGCAAATCAAATCAAACCAGCGCTTGAATCAATAGAAACATGGGCTAAATCGAACTACGTGGAACTGGCAATGGACAAAACTGTAGGCTTAGTAGTAACAGTTGATCCGAAAGAAACCGGGTGTAAGAACACCCAATTACGTTTCAACGCGCAAGCCAACACAGCCAAGAAGAAACTGAAACAAAGGCTACAAATAGTACGCTCATTGAGCGGAAAAAACTGGGGAATAAAAGCCAATGACTTGAGGCAACTCTACAAGAGCTATATCAGACCCGGTGGCGCGTATGCCTTTGAAACCTGGGGTATGTTCCTGTCGCCTTCAACGCGCGAAAAAATTGAAGTTTGCAATAATGCAGCGGCTAGGTGTATTGTGGGGGCGCCTGCAGGGGCCCCATCAGTCCAAATTCGAGCTGAGGCTCAGCTTAACACAATATACGAGGAGGGCATAGATAATGCAGCCAAGTTACTGGCCAAATGCTGCAACTTCAAACAAAAACATCCCCTTAACACTTAACAGACTTGGAACAAACCAGTCACAAATAAGGTTAAAAGGAAGGTCGGACTGGCGATCGGAAGCGCAAAAGAGAATCAGCGAAAAGATCTTCGAAGACATCAGAGAAGATGTGAACAGACAAAAGGAGGAGCGTCGATATGAGTTATACTCGAAGTTGGTACCGGAAAACCACCCACACAGACGAATGACAGGTGGGAAACCACTTCAGGAAGGAGAAGGACGTTCGAGAGAAGCAGAAGTTAGTCTCCACCGTATTAGACTCAATGGAGCTCCATTTCTGCGGGAAACCCTCTTTAAACACGGGAAAATAGAGGAAGGGTCGTGCCCGCATTGCTTCAGCGAAACTGAAGACACCATACACTGGCTTACGAAATGCCCCAAATGGGATCAAGAAAGAAATGCGATTTTTGGTGGCCAACCACCCGCGTCAATTATCCAAACGAAACCCGAACAAGTAATCGAATTCATCCGTGCTACGGCGAGCAAGCCCCCCAATCATTGACGGGGACCACACACACACACACACACACACACATATACTAGCAAAAAAAAAAGGTTCCAGTCGGCAATCAAACACCAAGCAAGCGATTTACCTCTACGCTATCTGGTCAGATACTGGGAACCATGTGGGGTTCATTTTAAAAAGATGTTTGCTCCCCCAATTGTAATCCGACGAATGTCACTCGGACGAATGTCGATTTCGAAAAACCTATTTCGTACCAAATTTGACCAAAATTGTACGGGGGTCAGTTGTATTGGACCACTTTTTTATTTGAAATTTTCTAAATCAATTCGGTCGGACCATTCTGGGCGTCCTGCTATCCTTGCTAGCGTCTTATCATAGACTTCAAAAATCTTCGGATACAACGATACAAAAGCATAAAATTGCATGCAACCAAATAGAACATGAAATAGAAATAACTATGTCAATAAAAAACTTTGGAAAATATAAAAAATTTGATTTCAGAAAAACAGACAAAAAACATCCACCAGCATTTAAAAAGCTTTTAGCAGCTACCGCGCGTTGTTACTAAGCCGACAAAACGTTGTTAGACGCCCATTATTTTAAAAAACAAACGAAGCCAAAGGATATTAATCAATGCCAAATGTCAATTAAAAAAACATTTTGAGGGGTTAAATTGGTTGAATTTGTAACTTTTATACTACAATCAACCTGACATATTTGAAAATTCTAAAAAAAATCAAAACGTTTTTCTTTTACCCTCAAACCAATGCAGAAATCACTAAACAGACAAAACATGAGCCGAAACCATGTACAAAAATTCTCAACCAAAAAAATCCAAAAAAACGGTAAATATACCAGTCAGGAGTTAAAATCAACGACACTTTAAGACTACAATGAAAACTGCCTGCAGCGCAAAAAAAACGTGATGTGTCATGTAATCCGACAAACTATAGTCCGACTATTCATGTTTCCCGGAAATTCAATTTTAGATACTGAAAAAAAAACAAGGTCCGCCCGTGACTCAAACCCCAAAGGATGCAAAGCAATCACATTAACTCCAAACCAAACAATTTCCAAGGATCGACAATGAACCAACATCATTTTTTAAAATTTTGTATGAAAGTTGTTAATGGGAAAAAATCAAGCTCCCGATAACAAGAAACTTGCTCGCGCATCGCAAGTGTTACACAGAGGCGAAGCTGTGCTTCCCAAACACTAGCGACAACACGCCAAAAAGCAGTTCTAGAGTTCCACACAGAGGCGAAGTTGCACTTCGCATACACAAGAAAAAATGTGTGTAAGCCGACAAACTATTTGTCAGCTTACAAACTATACGTGTCGTTGACTAACTCCTGACTGGTATATTAACCGTTTTTTTTTGGATTTTTTTGGATGAGAATTTTTGTCGGCCTACATGGTTTCGGCTCATGTTGTGCCGGTTTAGTGATTTCTGCATTAGTTTAAGGGTAAAAGAAATATGTTTTGATTTTTTATAGACTTTTCAAATATATCAGGTTGAGTGTAGCATAAAAGTTACTAACTCCAAATAACTTAACCCCTCATAATGCTTTTTATGACATTAATAACCTTTGGCACTGTTTATTTCGAAAAAATGGGCGGCTGACAACGTGTTGTCAGCTTAGTTTCATGTCAAATTCTTCAAACCGCACGCAAAAACTTCACGAAGATTACTGAGAAACGCCTAGAAGTACCACTAATCACCAAAAAAATTACCAACAGAGGAATTCGCGAGTCGAACAGAGCAGCTTCCGACCGATCAGTTTTTAGTGCACTGCTGGTGCCGGACCAGCAGCTATGCGGACAATGCAGCGCATAGTTGAAAAACTTAGTGAAAAAAAGGCATGAAAGCTACTCAGAAACAAAAAAAACTTTGTAAGAACTAAGATAAGCTTCGCGTTGTTCAGGAGAGTTATCCTTTGTATACGGGGGGTGAAGATCACTGGATAAGACGCAAATTATAGACAATTCAATTAGTGCTATTATAGAGGAGGGACGGTTGAAGTAAATACTTTTATTGAAAACGCATTAAATGCTGACTTGACTTAATTCCTGCAATATTGTTTATTGATGTATTTATATAATTCTGGTATAAGCCCTATCCAGCTTGTGCACGACAGTAGCTAAAAGGAAGAGCCCTTTTATAATTTACATTTTTTTAAAGCGAAAATATGACCGATAACGCTGCTGGGAAAAACTGAATGAGTAAAGCTTTGAGTCTACGAAATTTCTAATTTCTTAAGTGACGCACGCCAATTATGAGTCTACATAATTTCTAAGTGACAGAAGTCAATTATGATTCATTAGCAGTACCAGTCAATTTGAAAAAAAAAGAAATTTACCAACTAACATGCCTCAATTTATAGAGCGGACGCATTTTAACTAGTATACGAAAAAGTTCATTAAAACATAAAACCCTGCCCACTTTCGAGCCCTCTTATTTTGTGGTTCTCCTTCCCTGCCTTTACTCTATAGATCCATGATACCTTGAAGCTAAAGTGCTATTTGTGATACAATAGTCTGTGTTCATACCCTCAGCATCGGCTGTACTTAATAGCTGGTTATTGATCAAAATTCACGCTTTCAAAATTAACACATTTAGTCGCAACATTGCGCCGCAACAATATTTGCGACTTAAGATGGAAAAAAAAAGATAGTTCAAAATTAACACAAGCTTTGCTTGTGTAGAAAAGCGCAGTAAAAAAGTAAAAATAAGCCTCGGTTTAGTAAAATTTGACTCGAACCTTAGACCTACTGCATCCTAGAAATTATGAGTCTTACGCACTAACCACTAGCCACAGACGCTCAGTCCTTCACAAACACTAGCCTTTATAATTGACGCACTCCAATTATGAGTCTACGTAATTGCTAAGTGACGCAAGCAAATTATGACTCATTAGCAGTAGCAGTCATTTTGAAAAAAAATATACATTTACCAACTACATGCTTCAATTTATAGAGCGGCCTCATTTTTAAGTAGTATACGAAAAAGTCCATTAAAAACATCCAACCCTACCCATATTCGAACCCTCTTATTTTGTTGCGGGTTTCCTTCCCTACCTCTACGCTACAAATCCATGATACCTTGAATCTAGAGTGCTACTTGTAATATAGTAGTCTGTGTTATACCCTTAGCATCGTCTGTACTTAATAGCTGGTTATTGATCAAAATCAACGCTTTCAAAATGAACACATTTTGTCGCAACAATATTTACGACTTAGGATGGAAAAAAAAGATAAATCATACTATAACACAAGCTTTGTTTATGTAAAGAAAAATGCAAAAAAAGCAAAAAAAAAAGCCTCGGATTAGTAAAATTGGACTCGAACCTAAGACCTACTGCATCATAGAAATTACGAGTCGCACGCACTAACCACTCCACTACCCACTCACTCTGAGTCCATCACAAACAACAGCCACAAATAAAGCCGAGAACAGATGCTATGAAATTTCCAAGGCTACAGATCGTGAATAGCAAAAACGCACACAAGTGAACACTTTTGATGAACATTTCTATTTGCGAAATATTAAGAAAAACCGAAGGCTCGTACTAAAAAACTAGCTGCTCACTAAATTAATTAACGTCTTATGGTCTTATGAAACAATCATTTGCTGATACAGTTGGCTTTATAAAAAAGCCGACAAAATTTACAGAACGAAAATCCGAAATAATGCAACAATATATTATATAATTGTATTCGAAAACTTGATTAGCATTTTATATAAGCTAGGTAGTCTGACTTGTACATAAAGAATATAGTTCACAATTGAAAGAAGAACGAGGAAACGAAAACGGAAACGAAAACAACCAACTTTAAAAGCTATATTATAACTTTTATGAGCCAGGCGTCTTATCTGTGCATTCAGTAAATTGAGTAAAAGTCTAGTTCCCGATTTAAAGACACGTGCTCTGGCGAGTGAATATAAACCAAGATGCATACCTTTTTAGGTGGTGGCGCATGACGTTCATCAGTTACATCGCTTTGCTCGCGAGCCGGTCCAATGTCTGACCGAGTGGTAAAGCCTGTAGCTCCTCTTCCAACTCCAGCAACGTATCCCAGAGGCGCAGGTAAAGCTAAGAAGTCTTTCTTCTTCTTGCTCACTAGGGCAGCATGCATTTCAACCTTAATGAAAAGAGCCAACACCTTCTCCGGCAGTACTTGATTCTATTTAGCAATAAAATTTTCAATGTGAACTTTGACAATTCGCAAAAAGCATGTGCTTCTTCTGATAAATGGCGACTGAGCTTGACGATTTACCTGGAAATGGCAACTTTGATGCCAAACTAATTTTTAAAAAAATCAATATAAAACCTTCTTTGATACGTTCTTAACATTCCAATTAGTGATGATGAATTTAAGAAGTTTGTGGAGTAAAAAATCAGAGAGCGAAAGGCGTAAAGTTCTCAGATCTCAAGAAGTGTGACCCACGTCTCAGATATTATATGCCAAAAACTATAATAAAAAAATGCGCCAAAGACCGATACCTGTGCCATTCGACCAGAATGACAACGAATATAGCACGACGAGACGAACTTTATGAAGAAGCTTTATCGTACGATACACGAATTTTGACGATTAACGGTGTTATTTGTTTAATTATAACAGTCGTGGATTAACCCTTTCCCTCAACTCCTAGCTTTGTAACATTCGTCTACTACAGTCACACATGAGGCTTAAGAAAAATAGGCCCTATAACCACTGGCTCAAGGGTCAGGGACACTATCTCTTGTGTTTTCCCACCTCAAGAACGGTCGGAGCCAGTTCGGTTCGCTTGTGACATGAGACTACGACCCGTTACAGCTTAAGGCTACTACCAAAATGTCCCCCCACTCTAGAATTAAGAACGTCCCCATACTTAGGTCTCAAAATACCCAAAATACATGAACGCCGTTAAAAACCGGGTTGGAACAATCCGTTAAGTTGCTTTTTTATTAGACAGTGGAACTTTGATCCATTTCAGATGGATCAACCTAAAACTCGCCTTACCTCAACATAACAATCATAAAACACACTCTAGAAATTAAATTAAGTACTCACATTGTAGCACGCTCAAGAACCAGGAAGTAAATAAGTCGGTAAACAACTCAAGAATCAACAAAGTAACTAAAATAAGTTTAATGTCAGTCAGTTTTAACAACAAGAACAAGTTTTTACTCTAGACTGCAGTTTTATGTGGACCATTGGGACACTCAAGCTGTCCACCTTTCCGTCGAAGGTTCACTCTGGTCCAGTTCGAATAATTGTTCTCACGGGAATACTCTGTCTTCTATTTCAGATAGGACAGCTCTACTCTTGTTCACTATGATGGAAATTGCGAATTGCAATTTCACACTCGTTTTTATCTGACAACTTTCCCGCAATTGTTCTGAAATTGTTCTCTTTTCCTTTTTTGATTTTCAGTTCTCGCGAGAAAATCGTGCATGACATGTTCCATTCGAAAATTTAAAAATTTAAACTTCACTCCAAAATCAAGTGTTTTCTGCTCTTCTCAAGGTCAAACTTCCAAATATGACCGACTGGCACATACTCCCCGGACTTGAGATCGATGTCCTCATCGCGCGCTGTCTTCTGCCAGTGAGTCCCAGAAAAACCGAGTGTTGCTCAAGATACAGTGCCAGTGGTCATTTACAGAAGTTTGCAGCAGATTTAAGATTATCTACACCCCAAAATTCACGACCATTTAAAATTTTCACACTATTGCTAAACAGCAACCAAAATCTGCATTTACCTGCACCTTTGAATTTTCGCTTTTCAAGCCAATCATTTAAAAATCTCTTTTGTCCTATTCAATCAGGAAATTGTCATGCAGCATTTCGATTTATATAATAGATATAGTATATTAGTAACAATATTTGCTTTGTTAAAATTTCTTTTTCGTGAATCCAAGTTTCACTCGGATTCACACTCAAGCCCCCTTTCCCTCTCAAGACTCAAGATCCATCCGATTTGCCCATTCATCTCGTACTCTTCGCCTTGGAGGTACTGCATCCTGAAGTGCTAGATGCGGCAAACTGTCTCAACAGTTCCTCTTCATCATCGGAACTAATCACAATCTCCTCCCAAGCCTTCAGCTGTTCATAGGATCGCATCCATTCTCTCTGCTCCTGCAATCTCTTTGCTTGGTTGGGTAGTGCCTTCACCCTAGCTTCTCGGTTCAAGCAAAAGGAGTTGTGCAGGCTCAAGCTCACGTTCTTCGCCAGGTCTTCCTCTAGTATCGACTCCCTCGCTTTGGTATTGTCTCTAGACATCTTACCCACTCTCTTCCATCCCGTCGTGATCGCATTACGATGGGTTAGCAGGGGTCTCTTGAAAGCTTCCGGCCCAATCTCGGCCTGGAACTGTCGATACTCCTTTTGATGTTTTCTCATGTGATCTTTCGTTGCCCTGTACAGCCAAGACGTCAGTGTCGCCCGAAACCATGGAAAGTACCTCAAGCGACTCCATACGTGCCTGACTTCCGTCGGTATGGCGAATACTTTGCACGCAGTCTCAAACAACTCAAGTCTCCTGCTGTAGTCTATCGCGTATATTGACTCAGCCGTTGGCGTCGTCGCCTCCCGATACTTCGTTATATTCTCTTCTATCCATCTCAGAGCTAACATCGTACTCACTACTAAGAGCGTCACCTTCTGCCGGTGATCCGGTAGTCCGATCGACCGAATCTCTTCCACATCCCACACCAGGCAAAGGTTCTTGTGATGTGGATACCACACCGTTTGTGCCAAACAGTGGCATGGGCATTCCCCATGAGAGATCTCAATGCTCCTGAGATTACGCTCCCCTGAGGCTTCCAAGAGAGGCTCAAGCTCCATCATTTTCTCGTGCATCGTGTCATTGTCTTCCAGGTTTGGAGTACTTCCCACAGATTTCCCGATCACGTTTTGTCTCTCGTGATCGCTTGTGTTTTCTCTTTCCAACTTCAGAAGATCTTCTCCCCAGATTTCGCTTAAGTCATCTCTCAATTCTTTTGGTACTGTCCCTTTGATTTTTCTCAACAACTTGTGCGAGTGATGCGACATCCGAGCCAACCTCACGCACTTGGGCACTGAGAAGGCCTTGTCCACCAGTATTCTCTGGCTGGACACTTCCACCATCGCCATGTGTAGCGGGTAGTGACTTCCGCACAAGTTGGCCATCATTGACCCTATCAGCGATTTCGCGTTCAATGGCAAGCCATAAGCTTCGCTCAGGGGAAATCCCATTTCCGCCTCAAGACCAACTTTCCAGCTCCGGATGTGTTTTTGAGTCACCTGCAACACCCCGGGCCATGATTCTACGCTCAACGCCGTCACTAAATGATGCTCAGACTCCAGTCTCTCCAGTGCCTGCAGACCACACATTCTCGAGAAGAATCCGAGAGCTGTCGCTATATTCACCGTGGTTCTCGCGTAACATTCCGCTATTATTTGCACTTCACTTCTCTCCCTTTCTGTGATGTCTTCGAACCAAGTGACCAGGTCTTCTTTTTGAAACGACAGTATCCTGACGCATGACCGTCCATCGCAGATGTGCTCTCCGTTCCCACACGTCGAATCCAGACAGCTACCCGGCTCCAATTTCTTTGCTGACCCGGGGTCGCTCGTCCTTTCGCTTGGCTCTTGCATCTGGGGTGTGATTAGCTTATGTAGCACACTCAACTTCGCCAGATCTTCATCTTCCGTTGGGGCTAACCTCACTCGCTCGGTGGTTTCCTCGATTAGACTCGCATGGGGATGTGGACACCAGGAGGGTCTTAGTAGCTTCCATATCACTCCCAAGTTCGTGGTTAACAAGCCATTTCCACCGCCCATGTTCACTTCAACTCTCTTGTTTGAGCGCGGTATGCTTATCACCTCTGGTGTTTTCTCAAGAATCATTCCCAGGCTCGGCCCCTCTTTCTCCACCGCGTCTATCTCCATTATCCTTTCTGTCCAAAACTTCAGTAGCTCCGCTACCTCATGGTTTCTGTGGGCTCCTCCAGCTTCCGAGTCTAAGAAGGGATTGTAGGCTATTCCCATCACTCCAGACACATATTGGTATTCCCCCTTCTCACTGAGTCTCGAGTACTGTTCTGACGAGGCCAGGTTACGGTGAACATCATGTTCTTCCTCGAACTTCTTATTAGAGAACCTCCGTACCTCGTCCAGCTTTCGATGGTTCTCTAAGGATAGTCTGGAACCATCTTCTTTCTCTATTCCTGTACTCTGATATACGTTCAAGATGATCGTTGAGACTCTTCTCTCCATGGTTTTACTTCCACTTGCTCTCTGGTGGCATGCCAGGATGGTGCTATCAGACATCATTGACATTGTCCATCTCAAGAAACATGTGGCATCTTTTCTCCTAGCCAGGCTCAAGCCTGAATTGTCCCTGGCCACGTGTTGCATCAGTGCCTGATACACCTCTAGCTTCTTGCTTCCCAAGTTCAGCCTGTCATACGAGGTCAATGTCTCCAACTCTATTCCCACCAGACTCCAGGTGAACATTAATTGTCCCGCAGTTCTAACGAAGGGATTCGCCATTAGTGGCGGTGCTGATGAGGATGTTCTCATCGCCTCTTCAAAATGATCCTTCAACAAACTCTGCCAGGACCTCTTCAGATGACTTGCCATCTCTATCTTATTAACCTCGGCTTTTTGCTGGGTGGCCCAATTGCGTCGCCTGCGAGCTATTCCACTGTCCAACTTCTTCAAGCAGTCCTCCATTTCCTTCAATGTTTCGAGGGCCACCCACCACGTCCGGGAAGTGTTCCTCGTCTTGTTCCTCTCCAATAGATCACTCGTCACTTGTTTGCCCATGTCCTGATGTGCCTTCGAGATCCATTCTTTGCCGATCTCCACTTCCCCTACCTGTCCGTTCGTTGAACCTCTCTTCACGTTTACCTTCTGAGGCTTGAAGTCTTCTTCTGACGTCGAACTGGTGGAAACCTCTATTTCCTTTTCTACTTCAAGTGGTTTCCTGAGCTCCGAGCTGTTCTTGTATGCCGCCGTCTTGCATCGGGCCAAAACGATGGGCGCCGTCTCTCTCAAGTTTCCTTCCGAAACAGCATCCACTGAAGGACTACCCCATCCTTCCACTTCTCTCTTCCTCTTGCGAGTCTTCACCTCTCTGCTCGAGGGTGTTGTGGCTATCATCATTGATTCGACCTCTCCATCCACTCCTTCCAACTCTTGCCTCCCCCCTGCTCGAGCCTTAAGGATATTAGTACTTTTAATCATATTACTAGTCCCAACCTTATCCCTTTTTATATCATCAACCATTTTATCCACAGTTTTTTGTTTCAGAGTAGAGCTGTCCTCACATTTCTCTTTTCTAGTCTTCGATCGTGCGTTCCTCA